AATTGTTGAAAAGATTTCAACTACGCTCGACAATACTAAGTTCGCGGTAAAGTAGCGAAATACCAAAAACAGGAGTAACCCCTCTGGAAGATAAAACCTTAGAAATAAAATCGATCCCAATCCCTCGGAACTTGAAGGAGTTCATTAAATTTTTCGGCTCAACCAATTTATGAAACTCGTACCAAACCTTGCATCATTGGGAAGTCATTTAGGACCAATTTTAATTAAAAAATCGATATTCACTTGGTCAGACGATTATAACATAGCTTTTGAGAAAATCAAATCAGAAACTGTTAGCTTAACCGAAAAGACACACATCAACGTGAAACTGAAAACACGAGTAAAATCGGACGGATCACATAACGGTCTCGGCGCAACGCTCGAACAACCAGGCGTGAAAGACTGGAGATCAATTTCCTTAAAACCACACGAGGCTACATACTCAGCGAATGAACTCAAACTCCTTGGTGTTGTTTGGTCTGTAGAACACTACAAAAATTTTCTATATACGGTTCGGAATTTGAAATCATAATCAATCATAAAGCCTTTTTATCAGTAATATCTATAATCATGGAATTAAAACCTATCATGGTAGTTTAACAAGATGGGTGGACAGACTTTTGCTGTTTAATTTCTCGAACAAACACCTAGCGGGTAAGAATATTGGCTTCACGGATTTTATTTCTAGACTTCCAATGGGAACACAAATTGTTCCTTCATATTATGATGAAGAATTCGTTGTAACAACAGTAAGTAAAATCAATTCAATCATAAATCCGTCAGATACACAGTTATTAATACCTCAAAGTATCACTCAAAATTGATCGGACAAATTTCGGAAATTTCCATTGACGTAATACTACATATTATAATATTCGCTTCAATTCTAAACTTAGTTGGCTCCAGATTGACAATTTACAATTTTGGTCATTTCCATTCCAAATTTTGTACTTTAATTGTATTCTCCGGGAGTATTCTTAAAGAATTGTTCTAAATTGACCATTTTATACTTTTCTTTTCTCTATATTTTTTAAATCTCTCCCTTTGAATTTTCTTAAATCTCCCATAATATCGAATATTGTGAATATTGTAAAGGTACATAGTGGACTTATAAAAACTCCACCATCTTCCGTTTTTGTTTTAATTTATACACAAGAGAAATAATCTTCGGATCAGTCATCACAATTAAGAAAAAAGCCTAGAATCTCTAAAAGTGACTGAAAAACCATTGGAATTGAACAGCTTCTTTAAAAGCAAAAATATCGTTTTATACCCCATAGTCAGAGCTCTAGAAGAAGATGGGAGATTAAATCAATAAATTGGGCAGTTAATTCCACAAATTTAGAAGAAAAAAAATTTATACCGCTAACGGATTACTTTATTTAGACAACAAGTTATGTTTACCATTTGTATTGCGAACAGCCCCCATGAAACCTGTCCCAGACAATTTCGACTGAAAATCTTCTCAAAATACGTCTGGTCGCCACCTAGTAACAGTATGATTTACTTTCACGGAAAAAACTATAAAATCTTATGCCGAATTCCTGAAAAACGTTATAATCACCTTCAGATCTCAAATTTGTAGAAGAAGAAATTGATTTGATTTTGCAGGTTTATTAGATTCCGCATGGGGGCATTGTAAATATATCTTACTACGTATAAATAGATTCTCTGAGTTCCCTTCGGCAAAAATTACTTGAAGTACTTCAGCCAAAACAGTAATTGACTTTCTTACCGATTGTACTCATCTTCATGGAACCCCAAATTCAATTCTGGTCGACCACGCTTCGTGTTTCACCAGAGCAGATATTAAATTACTTCGTCTTTCACATAATATAAAATTTTATTGTACAGTTGGCGACCACCGTTCCAACAGATTAGTGGAAAAACTTGTCAATACTGTCACATCAAAATTACAAACAAAGTCTTCGGAATTAACAAAACCTACAATTAGGCACTCAGTATCCAAGATCATTTGGAACCTACGGAGCACAAAACAATCGAAAATAAAACGCAATCATTACGAAAAACATTTCAACAGAACAACAAACACATTATGGAAAACCTTGATCAATCTAAATCGTAGTAAACTTTTAGACAACGGAAACTCAATTATGTCAAGAAACAGGGCAAACAATTGGGCGGCAGATGACAGAATAGAAGATGGATACCTGGGCACTCCTTTGTATAACAAAAATCCTAACCCCGAAGAAAAGGGATACGACTCGGAACCGAGCCCTTCGCCAACCATGACTCTCTGAGCGACGAAACCTAAGAGACTGCCACTCCAAAACACCCTAAAGAAAGGTAGCATTTGCCGAAAAAGTTTGAATCAAGGAGCCTGTTTATCGACCTTTCGGAGAGAAAATAATACTTTCGTCTCATTCAACAATGAAACTCGCTAGCGGGAAGATCTTAAGGAAATCAGATAGCGCCATAAAGGATAATTGTTTGAAACAACCAAAAACTTTCAAAGGTAATGTCACTGTCCCGGATCTGATTAATTTATATGAAGCAGGATCAATGAGCAGTAAGGCTTGCGCTAGAACAAGGCAAGAAATGGCCATCACTCCGTCAGACAATATTACCGGCAACTACCCTTTCGATGCAAATTGGACTAGAGTTCCCGGGACAGACGGAACCACCTTCGATGTTCGATTTTTATGACATCACGCCAGAGACGACCAAAAACACCAGTGTACAACCTGAACAGGCAGTGAAACTGGAATTGGTAGTGATTCCGCAGAAGATATACCGGTCTACAAAGTGGGAGAGTCTTCCCCTGAACGTAATTTCTTAATTCCTTCTAGACCAATGCGAAACGTGGGACCACCAAATTTTTATAGTAAAAGGTTGTTTGTAGATGTTATAGGCGAGCAAGCATCGGGGACAGCAGATAATACCTTCACACTTAGCGATGTCATATCCGACACAGTGAGCGATGTCATATTCGAAAACGAGAGGGATTGTAGAGAAATTTTGGTCGCTCAGTCAATTGAACAACCTAGTCCCATCGTCTCACAAAATCCGACGGAAATAGTGCCTGAAACAAGAACTTTCACGGAAGAAGAAGTACAGGAGCTACTAACCTCATCGCCACCCTCAGTAGTAGAAGATTTGGACGATTCGGAGATATCGACTCAGATTTAATTAGACAGTGTAAAAAATTCCTTGACAAAAACTAAAACTAAAATCTAATTGGTCTTATTTGGACTATTTATTTCTTTTCTGTGAGCAATTCATGCTCACTGCAGGTGCTACCTTTAAGTTAACCTTATATAAATTTCGAAAGAATTTATCTCCAGTCCGTTAACACTAATGTAGGTGTAGTAGTTGTTTATCATTACTTCTATTTTTTTTCTTCTCTGAGAAATAGATAGTCCGTCGGATTATTCCACAAACCCATTTTCTCCTAAACTTTTAAATTCTAGCTATCAGTTCTCTTCAGCAAAAATTTACGTAACCATCGGATCTTAACATCCTTTTTTGTCGAAATAATTCAATAAAGCCTTATCATATTGACTTCTATCAAATTCCATTGGTTAAATCAGTCTACTTTACTCATCTTTTTCTTGATCAATCTAATCACTCAAGATGTTCCTTAATTCCTTAGTTCCTTAATGCGTAAACCTTGTATTCGTACTCTGTAAACTATCTGGTTGCTCTCTAGTTAGTTGTGATTTTTGTACACGTTTTTCGTCTCGTGAAGGACAGGGAGAAAAGGATCACCCATTTTTGGATGGGCTGTAAAACTTTCCCAGTTAGGGGAAGCGTTGTGACTAATTTTTTTCTTTTATCTATTCGTAATTAACTGGTCTTATATGACCTTGGCTTAACGCAAGTGACCTCCTTCGTTGTGAGCGAGCGTCAGTGTTATTGTTTTTTAGTAAGAAATAACACACATTTTCATTGAATTCTATTTTTACCTTTTTATTGTTTTTAAGTTAGATTAGGTAGGTTTTTAGTATATTTTTATTAGATTACGACGACCAATGCGTGTGGCATGGCTTACAGTATCCAGCGGTTTTAATACAGTCCTGAGTTAGCGCTGATTTGAATGAAGTTCAAGGTTGATCCTGATTGTCTAGATTTTTTGAAGCGCTTTCGGTTCTATCGATGCGATCTCAAAAACGTTGATTTAGCAAAGAAATGGAGTTTTTAGTTTTACAGCGTTTTGCAGCGCTTTCTTAGCTTTAAACTAAGGGTGTCGGTGTTTCCGCAGTTTTAAGACCACTTCAACATAGCGCTGATCTAGCAAAATATCAGCGATCGTCATCGGGTTTTAGTTATATTGCAGCACTGAATAGAAAAACCTTGGATCTTCGTAGTGTTTTTGCAGCCCTCAATCAACGTTGATTTAACGGAGAATTCGCAAAAGGTAAGCTTTTCGCAGTTGAAATTCTTAATAAGTCCGAAATCAGTGCTGGTTTGGCGAAGAATCAGAGTTTTTGAAAAGAAAAAATGTTTAAAAACCCGCAAAATTTAGAACGGTTTTTGAGTGGTTTTGTATTTGAAACCTTAAATCACTCGTTTTGCAAAATTTTGAGCCCAAACGTATAAAAACACTATAGTTTTGCTCAATTTTCGGCCTTAAAACTCGACTCGAGTAGCCACTAATCAGGGTTTATTTATGTTTGGGTTCTTTCTCCTCCTTTGGGTACAAATTGTCAGATGCATCAAAATTTGGTAATGAAATGTCAATAAGGGCGATGTCAATAATTAAATGTCAATACCCTTAGATCTAGTTGTACAGTTAATGGCAAATTTTTGGCAATATCCTTTTCGGTCAACGAATCTGAACGAAATTAGCCGAAAACTGCTGTCAACGTCGGGTTTTAGTTTCTCACTGTTTTTCACACGTAATAACTGTTTATTTACGAAAAAAAAACAAGTTCACCTGAAATGCTATAGTTTTTGACCAATTAAATTGCTCAAGGTCACCGATATTGCCAACAATTTGGTATCAACTTTATAACTATAGATTGATTTGTTAATCTAACCTTTTGCTGTGAATGTATGGGCCTGACGCAGTTTTTATAACCACTGGCGTAATGAGCTCCCACTGGTCATTATCCTGGTAGTAAATCAGATCCAACTGACCGTCATCAACAACTACTAAAATAATGAGCGACTCAGGAGCTGATCTACAATTTTCTCAAGGGGTATGCCAATTTTCAAAAAAAGTTTCGACAATTTTTTCCACCTTTTTTATAGGTCGACCAAATTGATTTTTTCAGCACTCACAAATCAGTATAATGAACCTATTTTTGACCAACGGCGTTTTTAGGCATTTTTTGGAAAGCGCGTTGTTTTGGCGCGCGCTTCCCCTCAAAGTTAGTATTTATTGGCACCTTTAGACAATACAAAATTTAAGGTCCTTCAGCTCAAAATAGTACAAACGTGAACCCTTTGTTTCGGCAGTGGGTCGAATCCCTGAAGAGGGCGGCGGCGGGAGGGGAGGGGAGGGGGCGTCCGCCGCTGCCCCATTCTAATATTCGCTACTGCATATCAGCTTTTAAGATGAGCCTTTTTACGTTATTCATTAATTATAAAAAGCACTTTTTTGCAATTAACAGGATCATACTCGCACGCATTGAACAAAAAACAATAAAAAATTTCATCAAAGAGATAACATCTCGTTCATCTGAACTTAAACTGTGAACACTGCTTGTTCTGAATTTGGATTAGAAATTTCCGCAAAGTTTCAACTGTTTGTCTGCGGAGTTCACAACTACAAAAAAAGATCGAAGAATCAGGTTGCTGATATCATGACAAAACCTTTTTGAGCCTGTTACGGAATCCACTTATAAACCACAAAGTACATAGTTTGCCCTGTAATGTTTTTTTTTATTTTTAACAAGAAAAAAAATAGTCACCTCGAAAAAATTATATATGATTCTTTTTCACTCTCACTTCTCTGAAATTAATTAATCTTTGTGGCCGAAAAACAGTCGGTCGAAAAAAGAAAAGTGAGTGAAATGTTTGATTATATAAATAGAAAAGATTATCATATGTGAATTTAGACTTTCCAGAATTGATTGGGTTTTGATGGATCAGATAAGAGAGATAGAAAAGTAGACTTCATTTCAACATCAAGGCTCTCACAACTAACTTCGCCGCACAACCGTGTGACATTAATTAGGACCGCTAAAAAGTTTCTTGAGAAACGTTTTGAACTACTGAATAAAAGTTATAAATAGTTAAATACGTATCACAGAATGAGGTACCGAAGGTCGCGTCATGACAGCTCCATCAACAGGAAAGTTTTTTTTTTGCAGATGAAATTTTTTTGTACCCATGAAAGATGTAACTAGCACAGGGTTGGATGATCTAGGTAATTTAGTCACAAAAGTAATTTTTTAAGTTACAAAAATTCAAATTTTTGTTGCAAACTGTTATTTATTAATAGGCTGCTCGATTGCCCGTTTCTTCTTGAAAGGAGTAACTTCATCATTCATTCGTGGAAACGGAGATGATGCCTCTAGTTTTCGATTTGGTGTTATTAAGGAGTTGGGCGTGTCGAATCAACGCACCGTTCGGCAGATGAGCTTTGTGTGTATGTCTCGGCCGCCTAAACGATTCTGACTGAGTGATGCGATGGACCACAAAAAAGCTCATGGGCTTTCTTGGTCTCGCTGCTGACCTTGCCTTATCTCCCGATCCTGGTCGCCCTAGTTGGAGAAGACTTATTGAATGGAGAAGACTTATTGACGCGATGCAGGTTGAGGACCGATCGGCAACTGAACAGCTTCATCTGCCTGAGAGTCCTGGTGTGATGGCCTGACAACATCTTCTGTGTCGGGAGCTGTTATTTTGACAATCGAGTCACCGGAAGATTCGGCTGTGAGATCCTCTGTTAGTCTAGACTTTAATCTGCTCGGCTCAGTCATTTGCCTAGGATTAGGCATCGTGGTATTTTGCCAGTAAAATATATATTTACTGAAATACGTACAATATTGACCCTAGCCAGTTTGAACAACGGTTTGCCAAAACTTCGATCAATGAGTTTTCAAAAACTTTGAGTCTTGAGGAGTTTTCTAACAGTAAGCTTTCTAATTTACGTAATTTAGCGAATCTTTTGCCTGGATGATGACGCAATGTTAATCCAATGAGTGTGCGAGAGTACGATAATATTGAAGTCTCCCACGTGGTTGTAGAACCCCAACGTCTCTTTCGTGATACCAGTTTTTAAGGAGTTTGCAAGATATGAGCAACTCGCGTCCTTACGTTTTGCGCGATCTCTGCTGCAATCCTGGCTTGTTCGCTGTTCTGGCTTCAAGGGTTTCCTTTTTAGAAATTGGGCTAAAGACTGAGAATTAACACTGTTTCCACGTGTTAACGAAAAAAAAGTGTTCAGTATCCTCCCAGAATGAAGCTCAATTGGTTATTCCTTCAATGTTGATTCGTTTTTCTGATATCGTCGATATTTACTTACTTGTAGAAATTAGATTTTTAAGGCTTGGATCCAATTTTTCGGCTCCTAAATTCCTCTTGATGGTCTGAATTGATCTTTTTACTAAATCACCATTCCTGTGATCCCCGACCGGCGTGAGGATGGGTTTTATGCCTCTGCTTTGCAAAATTTTTTTAGTTCTGATAGTGGCTGAGAAAATTTAACCATTTTCGATGTTTTGAAAATCATACCACACAAAGTACAGTCTCAAGTGTTCACTGTTTGGCAGTTCAAGACAGGGCGCCAAAATACTCCCAGGCATCCAAGATAGCTGCTTGTACCGAGTGAGACCAATGAAGTTGAGCCAGAATTGCGGTTAGAAGCTGTTCCCGAATCGCGAGCTTGCTGTCAACTATGACACAATGGTTCAAAACCGCTGCCATATAATCCCCCAGTTTCTTTAAGGACTACACATCTTTGTTGATGATAGCCACGCGCATCGGCCTAAGAATTGATCTTCCCCTGTGAGTCCGGCCAGGTCCACGTCAAAGAACCCTGGGAGATCAAACCACATTCCTCTTGCCTCGAGTGATGAGCGGCTTACCACCATTGATGGCAGAGATCCCAGCCTGAGCCACGGTCTGCTGTTGAACCTTCGTGAATAGGAGTTGTTCGGTGAGGTTTCTCGTCGCCACATAACGCTCTTTGGAGTGTCATGCTCTGGTTTTGTTGCGCGCTTGTACTATGTCGATCCTGCTGGCATATATTATTTGTTGTGTCTGGAAGTAAGGAGAGATCATGAGTAAATTTGCTTGTTTGAAAGATCGATGTTTTTGCTGGAGGAATTTGAAGTATTCATAAAACTTGACCGTGAACTGAAAGCTCGAACACAATGATTTTTCATTAACTCATCAGCTTTACCATATCCAATATATCCAATTTTATACTGGCTTGGGGTTGGCTTGCATGTTGTTTCAGCATCTAGCGGCGAGTTCGGTGTGCATCCAATGTGCATACGACGCTGTGATTGGTTAGAAACGTAGTACGCAATTTCGACTACCTTTAGCGTGAGATTTGATCAAAAATTACTGCAATCTGATTGGTTGAAACAAATGCTGCAATTGGATTAGCTAAGTTTCTTGTTAAAGTGGTAGTCAACTTTGCCTGCATTGACACCATACGCTCTGAGTGGCTGAAAATTTAATGCGTTGAAAACTGTTCAAATCGGGGTAGTTTTAACTTAACTCTGAGAGCATAACAAATTAAATGCTTGGCTAGACTTGATGATGATTTTTTGTGCGAGGACGGTTTTGGAAAATCAAATTTTGGGTGTATAACCTCGTAGTCAAACGGGATGATTCAATCCGCCCACATACTAAGCCTTGACTAATATGATTTGTTGCCGTATTTTTCATTAAGCGCCGACATAATAGCCTTATGATCAGCAGGAACAGCGAATGGGTTTCACGAGAGAGATGATTGGAAAGATTCGTATGGTGACACCATGGCCCATCATTTTAGTTCATTTGTACTGATTTTGGCTTCTGCCGTTTGTAAAAAACCTGGAGACAAACGCTATCGGAGCTCACACATCGGGTTTGATTTCTTGCTCCAAACATGAGCCCAACCCACTGGAGCATGGGTAAGAATTAATGCGGTAAGATTTTGACGCGTCGTCAAAATGTAGTTTTGGTATATCGGCTATAAAATCCCTGATTTTCAGGAAAACAACTTTTGTTCGCCCATCCACAAAATGATTTCTTTTAGCAGGATATAGCAATGGTCAGAATAAGACGGTATAACTATGTAGATCCGGTATGAAGCACTGCAGCTGTTGTCAGAAACCGTATCTCAACTGATTAATTCAAAGAGCTTTTGGCGGTTTAAAAGAATTAATTGACTCATTTGCGAAAAATTCGGTGCGTTACCAGTTTCATTAATTTTGCAATCTATCGCCTTCTGAAACTCTGTGAGTATATGTGTGACGCAATAGAAACCAGTTTGAATCGATATGTATCCGTTGCTACTCCACACAAAGCGCTAAAATTACCTTGTCTATAAGTTAAAATTAACAACAACATAACTGACTGAATATAGTGTTCTTAGTGATGATTTGGGCGACTGAGTCGATCAGCTCATGCATATTCGGCATATGGTTCTTTTTTTCAGATTTGCGCGTTCATTGATTTGGCCTCAAGAATATTTTTGACAGATGTATCTTTATCGCGGCTAGGACAATTAAAAATCTTTATCGCGGCTAGGACAATTAAACCTTCCAGAACTTTGAGCACGGATCTATCTCCATTACTTCCGTTGTATTTATTTTGACTGGTGTGTGTTGCATAGTATCTACGCCTAAACGTTCGTGATGGTTTAGAATAGGAAGATTTCTAGTTCGGTTACCGAGACTAGAAACCGGGCTCTCTCGATCTTTCAGCTATGGTAGGAAAATGGAATCTCGAGCTATCCAAACAAGTTTAAGGTTTATTGTTATAAACGACAACTTTTGTTCTCACAAATTATTTTGATATAAACAAGAAACTGGCGTCAGGCATTTTTCTAAGGAGAATATCAGCAGTCATTTTTTTCAAAAACGAAACTGGGTTCCTTGTGTCCACCGTGCGTAAAGAGCGTAGAAACAACAAGTGCCTGATCATAGCTGTATACTGAGACTGCCCTATTTTCCTCTTTGTGTCCTTTTTGCTTCAACACTGTTAACTTTACGATATCATTCGACGTCACTACATATTATGGTTCGATGTCAACCTCAATGTCGATAAAATCTGACTCCTCTTCTGGTTGGACTGAATCTTGTTGTAGCATGCTTACACGTTGTCTCGCGTTGTTGCAAGTTTTGGCGAAGTGGCCCTTCTAGCACGGTCGGTTTACGGTACTGATTAGAGCATTGAGTAGAGCAATTTTTTGTTCCCCCACCCGCAACCGTGATTTTGACTACAGTATTGCTATACCGATAATGTGGGCTCTTGTTTGACCCTTATCAGGATAGATACAGACGTTGGCGTTGGTTTTGTGGAAGCAGCTTCTGAAATTTCTCCGAGTTTCGCTTTCGAGTGCCAACGATAAGGGTTATCGAGGTCTACCTAAGCCTTGATTAGCTGTTGTTGTATGTCGATCAGCCTGATCCCGTCGATAAACAAATCTTTAAGTGTCGCTTTTTCCTGGTCTGATGACCGATTGTATAGGGCCGTTTGAACACCAAGATGAGCATAAAATCAGAAGAACGAATCGTTGTCGTTCATGAAGATTGTGAGATAAATCTTTATCCACTCCACCGTGTAGTCCTACTCAGCTTTGAATGAACAGGCATTGAGGTTTAAATACGATACGAATCAGTGATCGCTGACGAAAAAGAAAAGTATTGACTTTAAGCGTGCTTAGGCTTCATGATAAAACGAGTTGTCCCTAAGTCGAGGACTCTTTCTACGCCTCCCCGGTATGATTTCGTCATTTCGTCTATTTGCTGCTGGGTCCCTCAGAGCTCGACTTCCGGCTGCAACTGCAGCTTCCGAGGCTGCTAGTGTATCTGGCATAGGGTACAGTTCATTCATTAAAGCAGCAGGTGTTGCAAGAACTTCCCCACGGGAAATTTGTCCTTACGGCTGACGGCTAAGAAAAACTGTCCCAACCAAATCTCCCAGAGAAACGGTGAGTTATTTGATTATTTCAACCAGAATGGAAAAGTCGAAGTAGGTCGGTCTTGTCTTCGTTCACAGGAATTGCTGCCTGCGCTATGAGATCACTCGAACTTGGTAGCCGAAAACTGTCGAATAAAATGAGATAATTATAATTATTTTTTAGCTAAGAATATATATAATATATATTAAAATAGAATATCATTTGGGAGTTTAGAGTTTCCAGAATTCAATACGTTTTGATTGATCAGGTAAGTGATATATAACAATAGACTTTTTTTCAACACCAAGATTTTTGCAACTGACTTCACACCACAAGCGTGTGAAAACGATTTGGGCCTGAATTACGTGTCCTTGAAAAACGTTTAGCACTACTGACAAAATGATACATTTAGATTGAAGAATAGCATAGACTGAGGCAGCCTCGTGACACTCCAACGTCCCCCCCCCACCCCCCCCCCCCCCCAAATAATAAAGTTTTTTTTTTACTTACCGACAGTGTATATGTCATCATAGGTGATCATGGGCGATACCTCAAACTCGCATTCCTGTTTGTCATATGGGAAATAGGTCACATCGAAGTCACATGACATTATGGCCGAAACTACAGTAGATCTTGTGACTATGAAGCCAGAAGACCATACCGTCTGTTTGTCGTACGCATCGTAGTTGACTTTCATTGCACTCCTGATGGCTGAAAAACAATGCTGGCTGAAACATTTTATTCCAAATTGAACTTAACACCATTCAAACCATCTATGCAACGGCACTTTAAATCATTTTTTCCCAAAGTCTCAAAAACAGTTTTCATTTTTGCGTTTCAAAATCCCGAATAAAAGAATAGCTAAGGACAAAATAAACAAAACTTTCCCATGACAAACAAAAATTTTGCTAAGTGCCGCGTCTTGAAGTGCGTCGTCATAAAATGTTATGAGCAAAGTCAAGAGCGGATATAGGATTTTTTTCGAAGGGAGAGGCGGATATTAAAAACTTTGTCGACCTTTTTTAGGCTGGCCAAAATGACTTTGTAAGCTCTCCCAACTCACTGTAAAGACTCTATTTCGGCCAAATGATCTGTAAAAAGGGCAAAAAAAGTTGTTTTTAGGCACTTTTTGGATAATTTTGACCTCTCTCAGGCATCTCTGAGACCTCACAATTTACAAGAATGAACTTTTTGTCCATTTTTTCCGTCGCAGGCAAATAGTTAAAAAGACCGATCAAAAACGACGTTTTCAGGCATTTATGGAAAATTGCATTTGTCCTAAAAATTATACAACAAAATTATATACCAATTTTGAGGGGGAGCGCGCGTCAAAATAAGTAATTATGGGGCCTTTTCTGGTGTGTTTTTTTTCTTAAATTTTTGGTGATCCAGGCGCACAAACATCTGTTGAACAATGATCTTTATTCTAATTTGGATGATCTCATAAAATCAATTCCGTCGAGCTAAAAACTACAAACTGCAAAGGTCTATCAAATTTCCAAAAAGTTTTGGAAAAACCAAGATATGTGCCCCTCACTCGAGAAAAACTTATATCCGCCCTTGCTTCTATCACAAACTGAACAATTTCATGAACTATCAGAATTTTTTATAGAATACTTTGAAATGTTAAGCAACTTCTTGTTCCGACTTTCGATACGAAAGTAAAGGAACATTTGTGCTCGGGGTGGGTTTTTTTTCTTCAGACAAATTTCGACTTCTTAACTAGCCATTTTTGACTGAATTTTCTATATCTATCAAAAAGTATTGTTGTCCTAAGCCTAAATTTGAAAAGATAATTTACTTGTGATCATTTTTCATAAAGTTATGGGGGTTTGAAGATTGCCAATTTGGCCAATTTGGGATATTAACGCGCGATATATTTCGCGCTATTAACGCGTAAGCGTAGAGTTAATCCCTCTTGGAATTGTTCCAGATTGGTTGAAAGAAGCTTATTTGTCATAATTGATTTATTACAAGAAACGAAATCTATCCTTTTTTTATATGGCGTTTGGGGGGATGATTTTCACAAAAAATTTCACTCAAATTTTAGGAAAAAATAATTTTTCACTTTGTTTCATTATAGTTAATTTGTTAATGTTATTACTGCTCCAGACACCTTAAAAGGCAGTCGGAACATTCAGGGCTTCGCCCTGATACGAGCAGTTTTGTTTACTTTTATGATTGCGATAGAAAGTTGTATGTCTAACCTAAACCAAAATCATTCCTTTGGATTGCTATAAAACGCTTTTATGGCAAGTGAATCCTACGGATCCGAAGAAACTTGTTAGATTTATACTTTATAAACTTCATTGCTTCAAAATTTCATAGAAAAAAAAACAATAAAAACTACAAACTGCAAGGGTAGACCAAAGTTTCGAAAAGCTTCGGAAAACCCAAGATATGCTCACTCGAGAAAAACCAATATCCAACCCTGCTTCTATCGCAAACTGAACAATTCCATGAACTATTGGAATTTCAATTATGTTAAGAAACTTGTTTTCTTTAATGATTGCGATAGAAAGTTCTATTTCTAACCTAAATCAAAATAATTCCTTTGGATTGCTATAAGAAGTTTTTATGGCAAGTGGATCCTACGGATCCAACGTAACCTGTTAGATTTATATTTTTAAGTTTCACTGTTCCGAATTTATATAGAAAGAGACAGAATAAGTAATCTCGAGTGGTTTTTTCTTTTTAAAAATCTCAACATTTCACTTGGCCAATTTTGCCGATTTTTTCTGAAAAATTTTGCTGCACCGCATTCAATGGTAAAAAACTCCTTGTGATCAATTTTTATGTAATTATGCCAACTCATATAAACAACGCGCTATTTATTTTGAGTACAAACGCGTAAGCGGCGATTAAATCCGGCTTAGAAAATATCTGAATGTAATTGAGGCAAGCTAGTTGTTCTAATTAATGCGTTACGTTATCCTCAATGTATCACTTTGTCTTGAAATAGATAGACGGGGACAGTTTTTATGAAATAATTTTTTCTTATTTTTTTCAGATTATTCATCGTTATTTTTCAAAAATTTCTCCTAGTTTTCTAAATCATCCATAGACATTAAGAAACAGTCGCGACAATCTATTAATCGCTTTTGTTCAAAAAAATCAAGAAAAATAACTTTATCAAGAAAACTAAAATGGAAAAAAGTCAGTCTGAGTGGATGCCTTTTAACGAATAAATATCAAGCTATAGCAAAAAAAAGTTTAAAAACAATAAGGAAACAATAATTATAGTTCTATTATTCGGCAAAATCCTAGTCGTAATAATCATAGATTTTTTTCGTATAATGTTATATTACTATGGCATTTTTTAATTACTGAAAATTTGTTGGTTACCACTTTTGGTTAAATAATTTTTTTTGTTTTTTTATCAGCCATAATGATTTCTTTTTCAAAATCTTCACGTTTTTTTAAATGATTATTCCAAAGCTTGTTTTTTGTTAAGCTGCCGTTGCTATATCAAACTATATCATTTAAGGGAAGTAATGCCAATTATAACTCCATTTATGGTAAACGCTAGTCATACTAGTCATGGAGTGTTTTGCCTATGAAATTGTATGAAAACCATTTCTATCATCAATGAAAATTTTGAGTAGGACTTTTTCAACCAGGAAGCACAACTCACTTAAATCTGGGGTCCAGAAGGTGTCTTTGGGTACCGCCAACATCCGGGTCCCATTATACTCATCGGGATCCCATTTTGCAGACAGAGAATTGTAATAATAATACACGAATAATTTCAGAGTCATCAAACCATCTTTTTCATTTACGTCTAAAATTTGGTAGATGTCCAATTTAACCGCGACTTGTTTGTATTTCAGATCTGAAGGGGGCATGTATTTTGGGACTTTTTTGCGCAATTTGTTCATCAATTCTTCTTGAATTTCCACCCCATTTTCAAGGTCATCGATTGAAGAGTCTTGGCCGGCAATAAGCGTGATTGAAAGGGCGAAGAGAGTGAACAAAAGTTGGCAACTTGTGAAGATATTCGCCATATTTGAACTCAAACTATCGATATAGGTGTAATCAATCAACTATATAAGAAATTTCGCTGAGAAAGTAGCTACTTTTTTTTGATATTGCTGTCACATATAAAATCGTGAAACGAAAACTCTAGAAACGCTTTCTTTTTTGGTATCTCACAACAGTAAATTACCGAAACAATTAATTGTTGATTAATATTGGATATTATTTTGTAGGCAGGTAATTGAACTTTTTGTCAGGTAAATAAAAACAAAGGCCCATTACTCTTCGTTTTTGGGATGTATTCAAAATCTGGGTTTTTTTTTTGGTAGCCTGATAGTTTTTATTTGATTTGTTTGTAATAGTAGAGCTAAAATAAGATTTCGAGAGTTGAGATTTCGAAGTTTCTGGTGATAATCTGGAGTTGAGTTGGAGTACGGAAAAATTGCGAGCTCCAGTTGACGTTTTTTGGGTAATTTTTAATTCTAACTCGGCGACACAATTCTTTCCATTCAGATTTTTCCAATTTAGCTTTTCACACTCTATTACACACCTGTAACAAAACAATACATTAAAACCAATAACTTATTTAGATACCTCAGCAAAAGTCAAGATGGTACAAGTATGATAATTGAGTCCCAGTAAAAAGCAATTTTGAAAGATGGGTCCCGCAATTTTAATTAACTTCGAAAACACGTGTAAGCAAATGCAAACCATGTTTTCGTAGATTATGACCAAAAATGTTTCTTCAGGTAGCAAATATCATTCTTGTTCCTGGAATCTCCTTTATGCAAAATGAAAGTGAAACTATTGCCAGATACATGATGCAATAAAAATTCTGTTGACATCATCTTAACAAAAATGAAATCCGCTTAAAACAAGTATTTAATATCCAATTATATTCATTGATAATTATCACTGAAAAATATGTAGAACTAATCAATCATGATCCAAAACTAAAATTTATGATAATTTGTAAAGATGAAACTATTTATAGTTTCAGCCAGAGAAGAAATAATTTAACTTAGAAAGCAGCTGATCTTCCTCTCCTATAATCTCGCAACAATACCAGTATATACTATATCTATTGAGACTAGGAAATATAAGAGTAAGATTAGGATCAGTATTAAAGTAACAAGCTGTAAGAATCTATCCGGCTGAAAATTAGATAGCGTGACGAACAGACGGTGTACCCTATCCGAAATTACTCTATGAGAAGCAGGCCAACCCGGATCTAAGCTCAAAAACACCGAAGATATAGTATTTTATATTTGAACGTTTTGTTCAAACACAATATAAAAATAGCCAAATATTAAGGATAACTTTTAGAAAAGTAAAATAAGGCACGCTAGGCGCGATTTAACACAAACATTAGGCGCGATTTAACTCATAAATTTTAAATAAACTTGAAAATGGGGTCAAAATTTTGAGCTTATTGTAAAATTGCTTGAGTTTTTTTTCGTTTCTTTCGACTTGACCAAAAATTACTCACGCAATCCAAAAATTTCATGTTTCACAAAAAACGCGGTGTTTTTTCTCAATCCAGGCCTTCTATTAGCACCTGCACTCGGTGCAAAATTTAGAAAAAATTTTACGATTAGATAAAAAAGGTGATCTTTAATTATTTTAGTGCCTGTTGTAAATGAAAACTCATCATATTTAAGTTTTTACCGACAGAACAGACGCAAAACTTTTGCTCTTCCGATTGAAAAAAAATATATTTAAAAATAAAAACAGCACCCGTATGTTTACTTCGAATATTTTTTTATTTTACGCAGCAGATAAGAAACAAAAGTTAACTTACTCGTAAAAGCAGTACTGCTGAAAGCCGAACGGATCGAATCCCCGAAAAATTTAGACCACTCTCCCTCCTTGTAACTGTCCAAAATTGATTTATTTTTTTTATCACAATAATTTTTATCAATTTTTATGGTATCTGAATTCTGACTCTATAATATATTTTTGGTCAGTCAGTTCTTCAAACACGCGAGTTTTGCTCTCCAAATCAAACCGCCAAAACTTCAAGAAGGGAAAAAAGACGATGAATGAAATTTGAAATTTGGGAGATATAATGAAGCTGCTTTTGAAATTGATATATGGTCATTGAAGGTCAATCTGTGACCTTTTTAAGAGTCGCACATGGCTGAAGTACTGAATTCTGATCGTCCATCAGAACGCAATGCGGCTCTGTTTCACTTTCTAACTGGTCTTCGGCGCGCAAAACTCAAATTTATTATGATAAAGAATACATTTACTGGACATTCACTAAGGGAACAGATTTAGGAGACCGCTGGCGGTCTTTTAACATATATTTTATGATCAGAGGTTAACGTATAAAGATAGGGAATATGCTTAGATGGTAAGTTTCAAATTTCGGCCTGCAAGGTTCATATGCATTAAGATAGGCTATAGCTCTGAAGTACTGCAACCTTTGCAACACGATTTGGTGTAAGTTTGATATATTTTGTAAGAATGATAAGAAAATGAGTTTTTCCTTAAATTTTGCCACAAAGTCTGGTATTTTTTGCAAAACTTTTGAAAGCGCGTTATCTAATTATTCAAATTTTTTACTTTATATTTTGACATCATGGTAAGACAATGATAAATATTTTGACAGTTTTTTCGCAAATTGTTAAATAAGGAAAAGATTTGATCTAAATTGAGCTGCACCATTTCCGAATTAAGTTTCTATCTGTTGAAAAAAAAATCAGTTAATAAAGAAAAAAATTAGTTTACAAAAGTAAAGTCAATGATCGACTGCATATCCTAATAATTATACTCCAAAGTTTCTCATTCACGAAAAATATACTGCGCCTTTATGGAGATTTATGAGGAAAGTTTTTCTTGGTCATTTGAATGGAGTGGCGTTTTTTGTTGACTTGGAAATCTCAAAAACTTATAGACCAAAATTAGTTGAATAAAAGCTGGTTGCTCTAGATTTTCGAACTTCTCGTTTCTGAAAAAATGACAGTAGTATAAAAAACTTCAACTCGACATATGAATTTTTATTCTATCAATCGATGCTTTGAATGTCCCATCCAAAAATAGAGTCAAACACTGACAACTGTTTGTAATTTTATTTGCACGGATTTTATAGTAGAAGCTGAAACTACTTGTTCTAAAGCTCAAAAGATCTCAATCTAACTTTTTTTTGAAGGAAATGACTTCAATGGTCTATGCACATAGAGAAAATAAAGCTAAGTTTTCAGCCAAAAATTAAAAAACGCGATATAGAAATTTTTGAAAGTTTGAACGTTCCAAGAGTAAAAAGTTTGGATATCAAAAAAAGTTAAAACGTAGAATAAAAGTATAAGCAAAAAACGAAAGGCCGAATGAAAATTGATCAACATTGAGAGTTTTTTCAAAAGTTGAGACAAACCTATATCAAAATTTTTAGCACTCTGTGATTTGATAACGCAAAAAAATTTTGTTAAATGGTTTTACCGACAAGAATATAATGCACTGATTGTGGAGATGAAATAAGGCAAAGTATTCTATCTGAAAGCGAACTGATTACTGATTACTTGTAGCTTGTTTTTATTTTGACGACCCTTTCCATGACTAATCAAAATCTATCTTGAACATATGTTTTTAGATAACCAGCAAAGTGTTTTTCTTCCCAAAATGTTGTATGTCAATGCTCGGAAGCTCAACTTCTTCTTTCAAGACATTTTTTGCCTGAAACTGAAAGAAACAAGACAGAGAAAAAAAGTGTTAAGAATAAAATCCTGACTGATTGAAAAAGCAGCTGTTGCATCTAATAAAACTACACTAAAAGAATTAGTTTTGCTGAAATTTGTTCGCTGTATGCGTGGCCAATTGCAAGTTTATAAGAGCTTTTTAGAGAAAAAAAACGACAAGAAGTAAGAATTTTATGGTCGTTTTAGTTTTGCTTAGATTCAAATGAGTGGGACCTCGATTTATTGCAGTGCGCAATTCTTGTATGTTTTGTCCTTGTTTTCGAGATAAAAAGATTTCTATGAAAATCTACCCAAAACTCTCAGATAAAGTCAATTCATAGTTATTACAAAATTGTAAAACGTGAATATGCAAGAAGACGCTCAATCATTTGTTTGAAAGTTCAGTTTTATTTAGCTTTGATAGGAAAATTAGGATGGGTTTATTGTTTTTAAGATTTTCGATGTCATTTTTCCTTTTTCTTCTTCTTCATAGTTTTTTGAGAATTAGGATGATTTGCTAGAATTTATTTTATATGCATAATTTTAAATCTTATCTGACAGATTCATTTAATCTAGAATAACCATAAAATTTCAAAACTAGTGCAGTTTTGCGCTCAAAATTGAACTCCGTCAAAACCCAAATAAAAATTTTCGAGTAAAAAACGAGGTTAACCGTTTGCTGTGCAATTAGCTCAGAAAATTTCAACTTTTCCTTTAAATTGTTGTTTCTGAGAAGAATTACTAGATTACGTGAAAAACGAGGGCGGCAAGAAGGAGACGTAAGAATTACTAAGACAATCATCAACTTGTAGTAGAATTAAAATGATAACTTCGGCCTCTTATCTAATGAGGTCTAAAAAACCAAAAAGATGCACCAGATTTTATCTTAATTTTGGGTTTTTAAATTTAAACTTTCTTACAGATTCCGACTCATGACTCAAACGTGCTCAAATTTGATAATGTTTGCCTTCATGATTTAACCTTGAGGCTGTCAAATTATGCTGGAAAAAAGTGCTCTATGCTGAAGATCAAGGAGTTCTCGAAACTTTTTTGGCGAATGAGAAAAGTTGAGTGAGATACTTTGTTTTCATCTAAAAAATAGGTCACCAAAAAGTACTGTTTTAATATGAAACCTATTTTACTGCTAAGATTAACCAATTGGACGTAAGCGATAGGATATTAGCAAACAGACAAGTTTTTCCAGAACTCATTCAACAGACAAACGCTGCCAAAGACAGTTGACAAAGTCATAATGAAATCAAGGAAACCAAAAAAGCGACAAAGTTTTTAGAAAAGTCTTATAAAACACTTTTGAGTTTTGGTGAATATAAATAATTTTGTTAATTTCAACTTTTTCCATAAAATTTCATTTTGAATACACTGTATCAATAGATGTACTTTTTCACACCCCTGGTTGTTTTAGGAAAAAACTCTTCTTTTCAGTAAATTAGAAAAAAATTTTATGCTTAGTTTGCGCTTTTAAGCGACCGCCGACAGGCATAATTATCGACAAATTG